AAAAGAGAAAATTATAAATGATTATGGTCCGATTGAAAGTGTTAAATTTCAAAGGAAAAAATTATTAAATATTTCAAACTTATGAAATGTTATTGAAAAGATTTTTTTTTGGCAATGAAATAAACAAACCAATTGTTATTATCATTGGCTTATTCATTTATTTATTATTATTATTATTGTTATTATTATTATTATTATAATTATTATTATTATTAATTATTATTATTATTATTTTATTATTATTATTATTATTATTATTATTATTATTATTATTATTATTATTATTATTATTATTATTATTATTATTATTATTATTATTATTATTATTATTATTATTATTATTATTATTATTAAATTTTGTTACTTGTTGTTTGTTATTTATTATTTATTATTCAATATTTATTATTTACTATTTATTCATTATTTGTTGTTTACTATTTATTATTTATTGTTTGCTTTACTATTTATTATTTTTTATGTATTTATTATTTATTATTAAACCATTTGTATTCACATAATCACTCATCAAGGGATTTCCCATACTTTCCCATGTAAATTAAGTTGTTCTGACGGTTGAGAAATTGGTTCAGTCGAAGTTGTTGGAAATCAAAAACATGATTTTGAAAACTCCTGCTTGTTAATAATATCTTTTAAAGTTTTCAACTTACCGTAAAAAGTTTTTAGAGCTGAGATCTGCGGATCACTAAGTTGGAAGTATTTACTTTATACGCATTCATCTGTCATTCTCTGATACATTTTTTTGAAAGTTTAGCAGAAATGGGAAATATATTCCGATCGAATTATTCCTTATTCACTTTATGGCTTTTTCATACTGCCTATCCCCTGCTACTCCGCAATTTTACTCACCACTTTCGACGAAATCTTTTTTCCGCTCTCAGAAGATACACTCTCCCAACTGTTCTATGTGGAATTAAGGAGGATCCCAATTTGCTGCTTCTTAAAAATATCCGAAGAAAGGAGAAGTGCTACAAAGAGGCAGCGTCACATCCGAACGCTACGATTCCCTTCTTCACAAATCCAATAATACCGCTATGTAAAAAAATTCTATCAAGGGAAAATTTTGGCATTAAATTTAACGGAAAGCATTCAGAATTCAAAAATTCCCTGCTTTCACTGTCTTAAAGATTGTCTTAGAATTGCATAATCACCGATAAAATTGTCAAATTAAGACGAACAAATTGTTTTATTACCTGCAAAACTTACCAAACATGACAAGGGTAGAGGCTAAACTTTCGATCAGATAATGGCAAAGTGCCATCTTTTCCGCCACATCGTTCTTTACAAAAGATCGCATTATCGAAATAGAATGAGATATTTGTACTAATTTGATTATTTCTCCATTCAAATAAACATTGGGACATTTGATAAGAAGTCAATCTGTTCTGAGTTGTTTGGCCAGAACTAACTTTTGTTATAAGATGAAGTTAGTATGGCTATGGTAAAAGACTTTTTAATAGCCCAAAATACATTATGAAAGAGGATTTGTTATCAATTCTCGTACGTTGCGACTTTCCAAATAATTTCATTATGGTACAATTTGTTTGTATCGTAAGAAGCGATAGGCGGTAAATAAATTTGACGACAAATCTGTCCAGGAAAATAAGGGCACTAATTCTTGGGACGATAAGAGTAAATAGCAATGGATTTACTCACTAAATTACCAATATTCGAAATTTCAAAATCATTTTTGTGGCAATAGAACAAAATTTTATAGCAACAGGAAACCGCTCGGAACAAACCTGTATTTTCTTGTTTTGTTAGAAGAGGGAGAGAGGGAGAGAATAAAACATTCCTGGAGGAGCAAAACTTTTTGAAATTGAAATTTAAACTATGGAAGACTGGAAGGTTCAGTCTAAATGAATTATACAATTTATAGGCTTCTTCATTCTGGACTTATCTGCTGTCTCAACATGAAAGTTAAATAAATGACTGAGTCTTTAAGTCAGAGGTACAGAATATCTTAAAAATTTCACCTCCATAAATTCAACGTCCTCGAAGATAGAACAGGCGGACCTTGGTTGGTTACTATGCTACGACATTCTTTTATTACTTGCGGGAGTATCATTTGTGAAGTGACTCACTTTGCTTTTTTGCAAATTAGATTTTTTGGAAATTTTCAGGGAAATATAAAATTGTTTCAGTTAGATTTTTTAAAAATTTTCAAGAAAGTATAAAATTACTTCAGAAATTTTGTTTGCAAGAAATTTTTTCAAAAAACTACCAGATCTTTCTTTTCAGACAAACAATGTACAGAAAGAACTCACGGATTCTTCGGAGGTTGAGCAGGTAGCTTGTTTCAAAAGTTGGCGGCTTTTGCATTGGTTATCGTGCACAAAGACAAGAAGGATTAAGGAAATTATTCCATTCCACATTCAGAATCTAGCTTAAAATTCTCAGAACTTTTTGCGAAATCTGTTGTAAAATGCCCATTACATTAACAATTTCAGACTGTACGACTGGCAAATGGATGAGTACGGCGGCTTACGTCCTGTAATTGAATCAATTAACGGAAAGCAAGAACAACTACAGTATCCTCATTATCACCAGTCAGCATTCTCAGCGGGTGATAAGATGAAACGCCAACAAAATTGCGCCAATGATTCATTCATTCTAGAAACTATTCTCAAAAAATATAATCGCCATAAAATTCCAGGAGATTCGGTGATTGTTCAGGTCGAGGTTTGGGTACAAGAGATTACAACAATTAGCGATATCACTTCCGATTTTCAAGTAAATTCTTTGTTCTCAAATAAACCTGGCAAAGTGATGAAGTGGATCCAGTTACAGTCGGCAACGAAATTTTTTTTTATCGATTGGATTTCTAATCATTAAATTCATGTGTTCTTTAACTTAAATTTGATGTTAGACAAGTCGAAACAGAATAAAACTTAAATTACAGTTGGATATTTACATTAGTGAGATGTGGTTGGATCCCGCTTTGGATTATTCCTGGATGCAGCCCTGTAAATATAATTTATCGCTGAACAGCGTTTTGTTGGAGAGGCTTTGGACTCCTAATTCATGTTTCATCAATTCGAAAACTGCCGATATACATCGAAGCCCGTTTCCGAACATTTTTTAATGATTTATTCTAATGGATCAGTATGGACCAATTATAGGCTCAAATTGCAAGGTGTATATTTTTTCTTCCTTTTTTTTTCCATTTTGAATTTCGGAAGGTCGGAAATAATAATCTGTTGAAAATTTCCATATAATACCACACTTTGTTTAGCTAAGCAGACTTAAGAATTATATAGCCACTTCCTAAGATGTGCTCCGGGAAATTTTTAGGATCTAGCGTTCAAATCACGGAAAGTTAATATAATAACTTTCAACAAAAGATTTTTTTGAATTTGTTAGCAAACTAAAGTTTTTAGCGTAAATATAATCCTTTCGTCCTTTATTCTTCCGTTAAATTGGAGAAAGTTAAAACAAATTCCAATTATATAAGTTAAAAATGGGAAGGAAAAGTTATAGGATAGTAACTTTTGAATCTAAGAAGTACACTTTCTGCCATGTTCATCCCTTTTATTTTCTTTCTTTATTGAAATTTGGTTCTGAAATGAGTAAATTCCTTCGTAAAACCACTTGTCATTTTGGAATTTTAGCACTTCACAACAAGCTTACTGAATTTGTTGTTTTAACGGCATCTATTGCAAATTTTGAGCCAAAAATATGAAAAAACAACTTGGCAATTTCAATTTTAGATTCCAACAACATGGCTTGAGGAAATTATTTTGTTCAAAACTTTGTACTTAGGTTTGGCTTTCCATCAGCGCGATTATAAGGAGAAATAATAGAAAGATACATGAAGTTTTCAGCTAATATGAATGAAAACTATGAATCAGATTTGAAGAGTTCCGAACAGCAATTAATAATATGTAAACATGACAGAAGAGAGGTAATGTTGGCATTAAAATTTTTGAACTTTAAATAGATGTCAATTTCAGGACCATGCACCATGGATTTAACGAGATTTCCCTTCGACAATGTTACATGTTCGCTTACTTTCGAAAGTTTCAAGTGAGTCCCTCGAACTTGAAACTTTTTAAGCATACGCTATGACAATTATTCTACAAGTTATGTTATTGCCCAATTTCGGATTTATGCGATCTTAAAGGACCAAAACAAGTAGTATTATTATTCTATGAAATTAGTGGGAAGGAAACAAATGTTGAAAAACAAAAGAAACGAACAAACTTACCGCTTATAGAATTAAAATATAAATTTATTTGCGATTAAATTAAAGAGTGTCGAGTTTTGGCTTGATGCTAGTTATATATAGGATAGTTTTCTTCGGTAAATTTCATTTTTGTTTCAGAGTAATTCTGGTCAGCCACACGTGTAGTTTATTGTTAGTAGTCCATTTAAACTCCTAAGTTGGTAGAATGATTTTTCGTCGTCAGGATTCATCCTCTGTTTCATTTCAAAGATTAGATAAATGTTATGTTTTTTTTCAAATCTACCCCAAGTTGGACAATCTTAATGTTTGAGTATAACTTTTATAAAATATGTTCGCAAGTTTCTATTTTTCCTTTATTTTAGCTATAATACCGATGAAGTTCAAATGATTTGGTCGCCGCTTGGTGTTTCGAAAATGCGCGAAAAAATGGAATTAGCTGATTATGAACTTACCGGTATTGAGAACCTCAGGAAAACAGAAGTTATATTTTATTATCGATCATTCAATTGATAAATCAATGGATTGTTGATCTCTGTGATCGCTTTTAGATTGCATTGTGGTTTTAAGTAATTAGGTATTCGTATTCAAAAAACAAATGGAAACAGAAAAGCAAATATATTTAAGCGCTTAGGAAATAAAACTATACAAGTTGATAGCTACTAAATTCGTATTCAAAAATAAAACCAATTAAAATGATTCTTTTTTCTTCGGAAAATTTACTTTAGCCTTATCCTGCTGGTTTTTGGCATGAATTAACAATGAAGTTTCATTTTAAAAGACGCGCTGGATGGTATATTCTGCAAGCTTATCTTCCAACTTATCTTACTATTTGTATATGTAAGTTATTAAGGTTGATTTAAATACTTCTTATCGGGAAATTTTCTATCATTTGAGTTTTTCTAACAACAAGATAATTATCACTCTGTTGTCACTGACTAATCATTGAATGTTGATGGAAAAAAGCATTTTTAAATCTAATTTAGATAAATCAATCTTTGTACAATCGTATGATTACTCCATTAACTGTTTCGTTTTTAGCATGGATTTCATTTGCTCTTGGTTCTAAAGCGATACCAGCCCGAACAATGTTGGGCGTTAATTCACTTCTTGCAATGACTTTTCAGTTTGGCAATATTATAAGAAATTTACCACGGGTCAGCTATGTTAAGGTTTGTTGTCGCTGTGTCACTTCCGGTAAATGTTAATGTTGAAGAATGGAATAACTGAGCTCATTTTCAGGCAATAGATGTTTGGATGCTAAGCTGTATGACTTTCGTATTCTGTTCATTATTAGAGCTTGCCTGGGTCGGCTATCTGAGTAGGGAAGAAGTGGACACATCAAAACCGGTAATAGCTAAGGTATCGCCAACGACACATCAGGATGATGATAGTATCAAATTAATGCATCAAGACCGTTATGAAACAAATTCCTTACTTCCCAGGTCAATGAGTTATCACATCGCATACTTTATTTTATTGAATATATTTCGAATATGTTTAAGATCCTCAAGAATTTCATTTGTATTATACTTCGAATATTAAAGGCTTCTTCCATTCTTTTTAAATGAGGAAGATGAAGACAATGCACTGAGGAAGACAATGCATTAATGAATGAACAAATAATGCAGATGAATTGATCGTTAAGTCAAGTTTTCTCCAGTTAATCTACTGATTGACATATTACAGACGGAGACCAGCTACTGAGGAAGACAATGCATTAATAAGTCTTGCTCGTGGCAATGATTACGGTTACATACCACCCGGTTATGGTCTCAACGATCATTTGAAAGCAACTATGGCTTCAATAGCTGGTCCTTGTGGTTGCTTACAGCGAGAACCCATCCCCAATACAAAATCCTACTCACCCATCCCAATGTCATCATACGACCCTGCTTCACTCTCTAAACAAAGGGTACAATATGTTTAAACATACGTTCATTGATTTTTCACGAAATTTCTATTAATTTTTATGGTCAGTAAATTTTTTTGTATACATCTCAAATAATATTTTGCCTCATTTTATTTCGATTCGCATTCTTAATGCGAATCCATAATAATTATATGCTTTCTAACTGTCATATATAATTTTGAATTTTAAACCACTTCAGAGCAATTTCAAGACTTGGAACTATTAAGAAAGTCTGCATAGTCTACATAGTTTGTGTAGTAGTCCACACAGTCTATATAGCTTTAGACCATATCAGTGGTGAATGTGACAGCTACAACAAAAACTTCGCAAAATGGTTTGAGCATCAGCACTGCGGAGTCTGTTTCGGAAAGCAGATGTGTGAGATGCATTTGCATCACCTCTTACCGCTTGCAAATATGCTACCAAAATAACTGGACCGGATAATCCTGGTATCCTAATGATGCGTTTATCAAACTCTTACATCATTAGTTTTTCAAAATAGTGTGGTACTTTGAAAAAAATTTTCAAATGATATTTTCCAGGAGCAAGCAACACAATATATTGATAAGCTATCAGCAGTATTATTTCCGACGCTGTTCAGTGTGTTTAATATTGCATATTGGTATCATTACCTCAAGGACTGATAAATTTTATATATCATTATCCAACAAATTCCTCAATGGAAAATAATCGATGATAAGTTACCGATTTCATCAAGTCCGTTGTCATATCCGTTGTTGCAACGATTGAGAAGGTCAAATTATTCAGTGCATCAAAATTACCATGACGACAGGATTCAAACAACATTAAGGAACGACTCGCATCGTTTCGTCCTTCCATACAAATTTACCAAAAGTCGGTGTGTTGGAAAGTGATCATTTCATCATATAGATTTCATTGCTCAATATGCATGCATTGATTAAAAGTAGTTTAATTGTTTATTAATTTAATTAAATTTAATCTTATGAGTTTTTTATTTGACCCAACCAACCGATTTATCGTTTAAGCCTTCTGCATAGCACAACTACTTCATCATGCCGACCTCCGATTTTTCAAGTTTTAACTTCCTATTAACTAAATTTTCATTTCCGATAAGGAAATTGCAAAACCGTTTTTCAGCAATAAAGAGAAGTTCCTCTTTTCCTAGCTCTTTTTTCATTTGAATTACTTCCTTCATTTCAAGCCTATGAGTATATTTTTTATTGATGCAATGCCATGGAACATTATTGAGACAATGATGTTAGTCGTAAACAAAGGATTTCTAAATCCAACAATGGAACAAAAAAACTTGTCAATTTCCGGAAAGCTTATTCACTGGGGACCATATAGCGCAAAAATATAGTTATTCGGATGCAAATTCCCAGAATCACACCTTACATATATGCTTAACTCAATTTTTTCAATTCTTCCAGTCGCTAGCATCTCTTATAAATATAAACTGACTTTATAGTGTTGATTGATGTGTTTTTTCTTTTTAAAAAAAAATAGGTAAAATGAGGAAATGATAACTGAAAAGAGATGAATTTGCAAAAAGAAGTTGAAAGGAAGAATTGGGAAGTATGATATCTTCTAATGTATTGTATCTAACCATAATATCTATAAATATTTCAAATCAAAGCTAAGAATAAGTGGTAAAGGGTAGGATGAATCTAAATGCTGTGTAATCACGTGTTTCATACGTAGAACTAACTGATAAAAAAAATTGCCAATTATTCCTGGAAATGATTTTACCATACTGAAAAGACAAACGAAATCTTCATAGAAGTATATATTTTACCAAAGTGTTTTCATTGTTATTTGGTTAATTACTTTCCATCATTTATTACAGCATTGGACTAAAGTGCTGTAATTAAATCCACTCCCATCAAGACATCGGTTACAAGGAAGCCATTATAAAAGTAAGTCCAAGGCAGTTTTTTTTATTAGATTCTAGTCTGAACACCATACCATGGTATATCGAATTTAAACAACACCTTGGCTGTTTTGTCAAACATTCTTTAGACTACTGCTCCAAATTGCAGTATCCCGTGAGATTTATTTTTCAAAAAAAATGTTTGAAGACAAACTTTTAATGGATTGCATTGAATGGTTTTGTTGTTCGCGGAAAAATTTCTAAAACTTCAGGTCACTTCTGTATTTGACAATATTACATCCCAATTCCACAGTTTACTTGTCAAGCGTAACGCTTCGTTGCAATGTTTTAGGACGATTCTTTCCAGAAAACTTGTCATCTCTTCGATTTGCTTGAATTATAACTGCCCAATCATAACTTGCTGTTGTGAGTGTTGATATATCACAATGTTGGGGTAGTTTGTATACTTTACGAACACGTTTCAAACGTTTCACTGTTTCATCTGGTCGTGATACATCCCTAAAATATATATTAATATTTATCAGAATATTTAAATCACTTAAATTACTTGGAGTTTCTTCTGAATCAATACTTATTCCAACTTTTTCATACCTTCTGTTTTGTACGCCGTATTCCCTAAAATGCAAGAGATTTACAACCCAATTTTCCAACGAGTTTTTTCTTTAAATTTGGAAAAGTTCTGATTTATCGTCATTTATTGAAATCTAACTTTCTTTTATTGAAGAAAATCTTTATAAATAAAATATTTTTATAAATTTGAGAAATTAAAGTCACCTTGAGGCATTGAGTATAAGCATATTGAGACTCCTCAAAATTTCGATTTCAAGTCGCCAAAAGCAAGTTCCAAAGAAATTGTTATTGCAAAGTCCAATGATGCAACTAAAGTTCGATTCTGAGATCTTTTCAAACTTTTTCAGCTGGAATTCGTACACTATTGAAGTTTTTTCTAGAAATGAACAAAGAAAGAAATATACCAGATCACAGTTGTTCTCATTTTTTTCTACTAGCAAAACAAATAGTGTAAAGATTATATTTTATGTGTACGTTAGAAGATTAAGATGTAGTCATTCCAAGGTATAACTAATATAGTCGAGACATAAATCTGGATGGATTATCTCGACATGTAGTCATCAGTCCTTGCGGCATTTAATTATATTTCTGAAGTCCAGATATTCCTAAAAATTACTGAACCTCCTTTTATTTCAAAACTCCCATTAAAAAAATAGACCAACCGTTCCTCTAGATTCCCCAGTGCCACCTTGATTGAAAGGCAAACAAACAAAGAATTTTTGATCGGAAAAAAATCCTTTGGCCACACGATCCTCACTAAATGGCCAATCCCAAACGAATGCTTCAAATGGTGTATCATAATCGTTATTGTCGTTTTCCACAATCCTGCAAATGGTAGCTTAACAAAGAATAAATTAGGAAAAATGAAAATGAAGTTAGAATTATTTATGGGAAAGTAAACGATTGTGAAAAGAAACAGCTACAGAAACGAAAGTTACAATGAGAATCGTGAAAGAATTTAAAATGATAAACAGGAGAAAGATATCGCTTACATTGACGGATAACGTTTAATAGGTACGACAAAATCGGGTAATGATATTTGCAACTTTTCGGTCATATCTTTTGATGTTTCCGGAAGGGATTGAGATTTTTGTAACATTGCTATCGTAGGTGGAATCAATATGAGGTTGCTATACCTGAAATGCGTAAAAAATGAGAATCAAACAGAGACGAAGTGCTTCAAATGAAGTTTATCATTACAGTTAGTCATTATAATGTGATATGAAAGTGAGTCGCGAACAAAATCATTAAATGATTATAAATCCAGGAAAAAATTCGTTTAAATAATGTGAATGGACCACAAGTCTATGAATCGAATCAGACAGAAATGCTTGAATTGAAAGGAATCTAGGAAGCATTACTTTCAAGTATTTCCAAAAAAGCATTATTAAGTATGCATCGACCTATCAAACATTTTGAACCTTCAACGCTTATTTTTCATATGATGTATATATCATTACGTATAGGATATTACCAGACGCGACCACTGCTAGGACGGTTTCAAACTATATCGGTTATCCATATATATATATATATATATATATATATATATAATA